GGGGGATTGACAGTGGATGTGGGTTGGTGGGGGTTGTTCGGGTGCTCGGCTGGSGTGAAGGGGTTACACGGGGCTATGGGTAGAGGGGGTTATAAGATGGGGGGTGATTATATGATGGGWGGGAWTGACAGTGGATGTGGGTTGGTGGGGGTTGTTCGGGTGCTCGGCTGGGGTGAAGGGGTTACGCGATTCTTTTCAGGGGGATGGGAGGTGGTGGGGTGGGGAGGTGGGGGGGCATGAGTGGGTTACTGATGGGCTGATGAGAGGATTTCTGTGAACTGGGCGTTGGGTGCTTGGCTCGGTGGTGCTTAAGTTGGGTTCTGGGATGTAAGTGGATGGTTAGTTGTGCTATTGTTGCATGAGGGTGTGAGGATTAACCAAGTTTAAAGGACTACGTAGGCTCTCGTTCTTTATTGTTCCTAGGAGCCCTGTCCCTAACTTTGGGCATCCCCCAGATTATTCTATTATATCTTCTTTCACTGATTTAAAGAAGAAGGTATGGCCAATCCAAAAAGAGCTCAGAGATTGCTATAAACTTAGTATAAAGGTGCCCTTGCTAAACTCCCAAGCTGGTTTTCGTACATAACGCCTTTTCAACCAGTCAAAAGAACAATCCGGCAACACAGCACACCTGAAGGGGAGTGGAGTGTCAAGAAGAGCAGTGGGAAAGCGCTGTCTCACCTGGGCTTCACATGGCTTCTCTTGGATGAATCACTTCGTGATCAATGCCCGTATACCTCGATCCAAGACCGCCTTCAGGGATGAGCTTATGATTCACCTGGCCTGCCCATCCAACGCTTGTGAACAAGCCAGGCGATATGTTCGGCAGATGTGGCCGACCCCAGAAGTCACTTCCGAAGTGACGATGAACGAGTGTCCGAAGTCACTTCCGTCGACCTTGTCCTCCTTTCCTCTTATCCATGTATGCCTTGCCGCCTTCAAAATCGGCCAGCCGTGTCAAAAGCAACGAGTAAAATTTAACAATGCTAGCAACAACACCCGGCTGTCCAATCGTTTCCCCATTCTCCACCCTTTTTTGTCTCTTCTCCTCTCAACTCGACCCCTCAACTTCTCTTCTCTCCTCTCCTCCTTGTAGGTCCTACTAGTCTTCTGTCTCCTCCTTAACACGGGTCCACTTGAACGTCTCTCCTGACCTTGATGATGTGTCACTGAACATCGACTTGTCGTGTCAGTGCAGATAAGCAACGATGCGTGAGCCCCCCTGATCAGCAACGCGTTCTCACTGACAATGATATCAATTCCTCACAATGGAAGCAACAACGCATGAGCCGCCCTGATCTGCCGTCCTTACTTTTCCTTAGGTCCATATTGTTCGACTGTGTTATGACATTCTATCAAGATCAATGTTTGTAATAATGTGTGGCCTTCTCATTCACCTCCAGGCCTGACACGACTGCACTGCTTTTGGTCAAGATAGGAAGAGGTGTTCTGGTGTCTCCCTGATTTTTCTGTGCACGAAACCTGATTAACTGTCCTTAACATTTTTTACACCATGTGAGTAAGTCCGTCTTGGTCCAGGTGTGAATGGCCACAAGCCAATCCATAGTGGGCAAGCATCTATGCTCAATCTGCCATTGTAGGTAGGAAGTTTCAGATGGTTTATGTAATGAACCCAGTCTCGTTGAGAAGCCTGTCAGCAATGCAATAGAAGTGTGATCCCAGTGCGCCTCATGAAGTCTCCAACATCAATTACAAGTCCATGTCACGATCATATTCTCTCATCAAAGAAGAGCATGAGAGAAGAGAAAGAGGAGAGAAAAGATATAGAACTGGAGGAGGAGAGCCACAATGATAATCAATA